AAATTCACTTGCACCACTTAGAAAATGGTAAGAAGCTCTAAAACCCTTTGCCATATTTGAAATAAATTTTAGTCTGGAATAAAAATATTCTAAATTCAATCAAATCAAATATGCAAACACTTTATAGAGAGATTTTGAGTAGATTTATTAATAAAATTCACAAAAAATTAAAATGATCAAGGCATTATAATCTCAAACTTTCAAAAACCATGTTATTTATGGCATGAAGGAAATTGTTTATATATTATGATCCAAAAGTAAAAATTTATCATCTTTGTGATCAGCATGACAAAATCTATTAACCTAATATTAATATTGGATAATAAATAAAGAGCAAGAAAAGAAAAAATAACTGTCAATAAACATAATACTTTAATTTTATCATTAAAACTTTATAATAATATTAAAATTTCCCAAAGAAATAATTGTTACTAATTAAATAATAAATTAAATTTTTAGAATAAATGCATAAGGATATAGTTATATAACATAGGTTTTGACAATTTTTGCTATTAAACTGTATTATGCCTGTTCTCACCACCCAACTAAAAGCTCCAGTATCATTAACCTTATGTCCTTGCCTTTGACTTGTGTTAACCACGTATTAAAAACAAGTTAATGCCTAACAAATTTTGGTGTTAACAGAAAATGAGTTTTTTTTGTCTTCTTCACCCACTTCAATGTTTATATATGATAAAGAATGAGCTTCTTACATCTTACTTACCTGAGCATGTCCTCACTTACACTACGACAAAAAATACCTAATGTATTTGAATAAATCCTTCACTTCATCAAGGTCAAACAAGAGAAAAAACAAATAAAAAAAGTTAAAAAACCCTTGTGTACATTGGTCCTATTATTCAAGTAGAGTTTACCGCTTAGAGGACAATTCTCTTCCATACGAATTAAATAGCCTTATCAAATTGACCTTTTAAAAAGGGACAAAAAGGAAGTAGTCAATAAGGAGAAAGGATAATAAAACATTTTAAGTTAAGTCATAAAAATAGCCCATTTCTTTCACGACCTGAATTATCCTGAATTAGTATTTTCTAACATTCTCTGTTTTTAGAGAGAGATAGAGGAGCTTAGTTGACATCTGGTCTTGTGATTGGAGTGTACCTCTTAACTGGTATGGTTTAGGGGAACTTGCAAGTGACACAGTAATCCTAAAAGTTGGGAAAGGTCTAGCTGGTACAAGGGAGAGCAGTTGAGGTAGTTGCGTGTTGATGATAACCCAGAATCAAGCATTGGTGCAACACGAGGCATGCAATACATAAACAGTTTTAAGGATGAATGAATGAATATGTATGGGATGTGTGATCGCAAAACAAATGCCCACCCATCTCAAAGCATCTCGTTTTGCATTAATTGGAAGTAAATTTTACGCAAGAACTCGGCCTAGGAGGGGGGGCCCATTCTTGCTTAGCCGCCCACTCCACTACATGTTATCTTGGGCTCTACCCTTCGCTCTTTTGACCACGGAGTCAAGTTTAGTCAATCTCTTTAAAAGTTTTGGACACGTTTTGCCCTAATTCTCTGTGCTAGAGACATGACGAAGGCGCCGCTCCTCGCCATTCTCTCGGCCGCATGCACCTTCTTCTCCGGATTCCAAAACGTTGTCATTTGTTCTTGGCTCCAGCCATTTCTCCTCTTGCATTTCTTCCACAAGTCAGCGATTTCGCGCAATTCTTGCTCATGGCGCTCCGCGGCGCTCACAATCCTCCTGGCGCTCCTCCTCCAGACCACCGCCGCGAGCCTGGCGTTCCTGGCATTCTTCCCGGGAAAGGTGAGCCCGGACAGCTCCACGGCCAGCAGCGTGCCAATTGTGGGAATAATCTGGGCACTGGCGCTGTGGGTGTTTCTGCTCCTCCCATTTCTTGCAAGCATCGGCTACAGGAAGCGTTTTGATCGAGCAAGAACCTCCCAGCCGCTGGTATTCGCGTCGATCTGGACCACGGCGTGGTTCCTGTGGAACCGATTCGGCGGCGTCGGCGCCCTCCTCCATCCCGCCGTGTCGCAGGTAACAATCTTGCCCCTGGTGATGAGCGCGGGCGTGTGGGGGATGGACGGGATCGCATTCCTCATGGCGTGGTTCTCGGCGATTCTCCACGACAGGGCCGTCCTCGACGAGTCTCTTCCCAAGATGGAGAAAACCGACAAGAAGCGTGCTACGCAGCTGCATCGCGGCCACTCCCTGGCGTTTGGAGCCATTGCTCTCTCGATCTTGTTATACGGCAGCGCCAGGGTCTCCATTTTCTCGGGGGATTTCTTCCAGAAGGACATCGCCCTCACGATGAAGAAAACAGTGCCGGTTTCTTGCGTCCTGGGCAAGCTCCTCGTCTACGAGGACATGGATGTGATGCTCAACAGGACGAGCCAGCGCCTCCGAGCCGGCGATCGGTTGGTGCTCTGGTCCGAGGCTGCGGTGAAACTCCACCTCAAACAGGAGAGGGATTCTCTCCAATTCAAAGCCGGACAGATCGCTTCCCAGCATGACGCCTACGTGGGCATCACTTACGAGTACAAGGACGCGAGCACCGGAAGAGTCGGGAACTATTTCGACCTCGTTCTTCCCGATGGCTCCATTGGTTTTAGCTACAGGAAAGCCCACTTGGTTCCATTCGCGGAGTCGTATGTCACTCCGGGGGATCCCATTCTTCCCGCCATCGACACCGAGCTCGGCCGGATTGGAGGAGCGATTTGCTTCGACTTCGAGTTTCCAGACCTGATGCGCCAGGCCGGGGAAAAGAGGTAGAGCAAACTTTCAGTATGGTAGCCTAGAGTTCTAAGTGTTTGGTGGTGCTTTGGCAGGATTGATATCATGCTCCAACCAGCCGAGACTTGGGGAGCAACCGGCCCCCGGGTGAAAGAGGCCGATGCCTTCCGTGTCGTGGAGAACGGCTTTAGCTGGTTTCGATGCTCCACGGGAGGCGTTTCAGCCGTTGTCGATCCCTATCTCCAGACATTCGACCACAGGTGCGACAGTGTTAGATCAATGTTCGGCTGTGATATTCTTTTGGTTTCCTTTTGCTTGACAGGGAAGGTATCTCCGACTCGGTCTTCGCCATGGCGCTCCCAATACTTGGGAAGGCGTGGACGCTTTATCCGAGCTATGGCTGCCTTTTCGCGTGGCTAGTGGCTGCGCTCGCTGCGGTACACGTCTCCATGCTCTGCCTCCCTCTTGGAGCAGTGATGTACATCCTTGACAAGTCCCCGCCCGCCTTTGTGTTTTACATCACTGGCGACCGATCATTCAAGGAGTTTGCACACTTGCACAATATTTTGCCAAACCACACACCCCGATACTAAACTTAGTAAATACATATTGCATATAAATTTCATGATTATTACCACCTAAAATCATGGTTTTTTCATGAAAAAACTCCTCACTTCCTCTATAATTTTGTATAAGAAAAAAATCCACTTTCACTACTTGGAAAATGGTATGAAGTTCCAAAAACCTTTGCCACACTTAAATAAATTTTAGTGTGGCAAATAAATTATGAGAACTCATTCTAAATTCAATTAAATCAAATATATAAACACTTTATAGAGAGATTTTGAGTGGATTTATTAATATAGCTCAAAAAA